GGCAGTCAACCATGGTAACGTGGGTTTAGACCATCCGATATGATGTATCCTACTTTGGATCTAGACATGGAAAAGCTTTCAGCAGTTTGGCAGTCAACCATGGTAACGTGGGTTTAGACCATCCGATATGATGTATCCTACTTTAGATCTAGACATAGAAAAGCTTAGAATTTTGTTTTGTTTGTCCTTTATAACATCTCATATAATACTCATACTTTCTCTGTCAACAGTTTGTGCGCAACAGAAACAGAAAACATTGAAGTCAAGTATTTTAATTAAAGTCAAGTATTTCCTCTTTTTTTTTCTACTTTGATCTTTCGTTCATCACTGCCTAAACAGTTTCAACTGTACTTATTGCTCTTCTAACGGACTAACTGAACGATTAGTTGTGTGATAATTCAGGTCATAACCTAGAACACAATATAATTTTATATACATATAAAGTCGTGCCTTAATATTTTCACCGTAAAGTTGCTGAAAATCAAATCGTGGAGGAAACTAAGTTCTAATGCATAGTTCGAACCACACCGTAACAAAGAGGAAAAAATACATTATTTAAAAGAAATTATTATACCTAACTAAGTAGCTTTAAAAATACAGGTCATTCGAAAGCCTGAAGTTTGTTGTGAGATTAATAAGTTATACTAATACTTAATTAGGATTTTGTTTATTACTTGACAAGAATACGTTCGACAGGGGTCGCTGCTATCCACCCACTCAGTTTCACTTTCATGGAACCTTCCGTTTAAATAACAACCTGAAAAGAAAAATTAACAGTGGTTAATTGTTACTTTCAATCTTCGAGTTTACTTGAAGTAATACGTTTCCAAATTTATTATTACGAGATGTAATTTACTTCTCCTTATTTGTTACAAGGTTTTTACTTCAAGTTATTATTTTCGAGTTGCAGTTGTAAATTTGACTATATTAAGAAATTTAAACCGAAATATGAGTGATATATCGTTATCTTAGTTTCACCACTAGGTGACTTACCTGCCGATAGGCTATAAATGTACGTACCTTTACATAACTTACAACAGGCTCCTTTCTCACTGTACAGCAGAAAATAGCATTCTTTGTCACTAGAGCACGCTGTACGCTGACAGTTCACGTGGCCGTTCTGAAAAACCGAAATAATGAAAACTGGAGTTATATTATGTGAATAACGTCTTTGTTTTTCTGAGAAAATGAACTTGAGAAAGTTACCGAGCTAAGAAATATGTGGTTGATATGTTTTAGCGCTGAACTACACAAAAGGCTATGTTCACCACAGGAAATCGAACCCAGGATTTTAGTGTTGTAGGTCCACTAACTTACAGCACACCCACAGAGCGACAGAAGTGTTTACAGAAAACAGAAATGTATAAAATTTGCTGTATCTATAGAGGGTTGTATCTCTTCTGGGTTGATTAAAGAGCATTTATTTAATGAGCCATAATAACTAAAAATAAAATATAACCTAGGCATACTATAAATTCATAATAACCTTCTTAATTACCAAAGCCGGGTAAATTACTTACTGTTACTTCAGTGTTAGCTAAGTGGATGAAAAGAACGTGTACAACATCACACAGACCATCTTCCTGTGCAATAAGAAATAGTGAGACAAATTTTAAATGTGGTATTATTCTGGCTACATGATAGAGAGAACATCAATGAGGAAGTACAGGTAATATAGTAAATACAGGTAACATAATAAACACAGGCATGTACTATAGAGTAAATACAGGTAATATGGTAAACACAGGCATGTACTGTAGAGTAAATACAGGTAATATGGTAAACACAGGCATGTACTGTAGAGTAAATACAGGTAATATGGTAAGCACAGGCGTGTACTGTAGAGTAAGTACAGGTAATATAGTAAACACAGGCATGTACTGTAGAGTAAATACAGGTAATATGGTAAACACAGGCATGTACTGTAGAGTAAATACAGGTAATATGGTAAGCACAGGCGTGTACTGTAGAGTAAGTACAGGTAATATGGTAAACACAGACATGTAGTGTAGAGGAAGTGCAAGTAATATGGTAAACACAGGCATGTACTGTAGAGTAAGTGCAGGTAATATGGTAAACACAGGCATGTACTGTAGAGTAAATACAGGTAATATGGTAAACACAGGCATGTACTGTAGAGTAAGTACAGGTAACATGGTAAACACAGGCATGTACTGTAGAGTAAGTACAGGTAATATGGTA